GGCATTTCTGCTGAGACTCTTCACCTTTTAAGTGGGAAGTTTTTTCTTTCGCTAGCAAATATTTCCCATAATTTCTAGGCTGATACAATTAAAGCTAAAAAAGACGGGTGTAAATTATACCTCCCTGCAACCAGCCTCGCCCCAGTAGAGTAGCTAGGGGCTGGAAATACAAGGATTTGCAATAATTAAGGCAAATAGTTGTTTTTGTTTGGTAAGAAAAACAACCCAGTGCTGTTAGAAGGAAGGCAAGAAAAAACATGGAAAATGTTTTCCTTCCAATTACTAAGCTGAGGGGAAGAAAAAGTCGTTCCATGCAAAGCTGGTGCTGGGCTCTGCGCCTGGCAGAGACGTGTAGGGACTGAACCAGGCCCGGGCGGAGCAGGCACCCGCGGGGAGCCGGGTGGCACGGATTATCCAGGCTGTTTCCCTGTGCTTTCCCCATTTCCCACTGAATTTGATCCATGACCTCCCACAGCTCCAGGGGAGCATGAGCTACTGGGCTGTACTGGGATGGGCTGAGCTGTGATGTGCTGGGCTGAGCTGGGTTGTGCTGGGATGCACTGGGCTGTCTGGGGTGCTCTGGGTTGAGCTGGGCTGGGCTGGGTTGCTCTGGGCTGAGCTGGAATGCGCTGGGTTGAGCTGAGTTGAGCTGGGATGCACTAGGTTGGGCTGGGATGCACTGGGCTGGGCTGGAATGTGCTGAGCTGAGCTGGGATGCACTGGGCTGAGCTGGGCTGTGCTGGGATGGATTGGGCTGTGCTGGGTTGCTCTGGGTTCAGCTGGGCTGAGCTGAGCTGCTCTGGGCTGAGCTGAGCTGGGATGCACTGGGTTGGGCTGGGCTGCACTGGGCTGGGCTGAGCTGGCCTTACTGCCTGCACATGAACCGGCAGCTTCCCGCACGCTGCCTGCCCGGGCACGGAAACCCTGCGTGGAGCACTGGGGGGAGGCAACGGGACTGGGCGCTGGGGCCCCTCAGTGCAGCCACGTTTTGCCAAACAGGCGTGGGTTCGGCAGCCGGCAAACGCCGGGGCAGGAACTGGCACCACAAACCATGGCCGGCCAAAGCCAAAGGCAGCCAGGGACTTTTTTTTTTATTGTTTCCGCTTCTCGATCCACAAAATAACTATGGAATCGATTAGTCTCAAGGGAGATGGCGAAGCTTGATTAATTTAGTAATTATTGCTTCAAAGTATTTCCCTCCGCAAGGGCTCGATCCTCGCCCAAATCCCTTTGGAGACCCTCGGCAGCGTTTGGGCTGCGTGGACCCTCCGCAGCAGCGGGGTGCAGGGGGCCGTGGGGCACGGGGTGCCATGGGGTGGGACAGGGTGCCACGGGGCAGGACGGCCCCTCGCTCTGCAGGGGGGTCCCCACGTGCCCCCACCCTGCTGCCCCTGAGGGCAGACATGCCGAGGAGCTCCGTTCCCTGGAGCAGGGACCTGGGAAAAGTCTCACGTGCTCGGGAGCTTATCTGCTTCCTCCCGCTCCATCAGCGGCTCTTGCAACGCGCTGCCTCTCCCAGCACGCCCTGCCGCGGTGTGTTAGGCAGGGCTGCAGGAGAGCCTGCTCCTGAATACCTGGTGCTTTAGCTGCTGACGACTTTACCGTTTGGCCTGAATTTCTCAGTGGAGGCATCTTTTCCGGTAATTTCAGCCAAATTTCTTTAGCTATTTCCAAGGCTTGGAAAAAAGACTTTTTTTTTTTTTTTTTTTTTTTTTTTTTTTTGGTGTTAAAATATCCTAGTGACCTTTTCTTTCAGAAGCCTGAGTGCCAGGTATCTGGGAGAAGGGACACAGAGCCTGGCACGGAGCCTGCCTCGCAGATCCTCCTGGCCTCGGCCACAGGTTTTCCTGCCGATGTTGTTCCCATTTTCCGAATGCCTGGCGAGGAGTGGGCTGCCTGGTAAAGAGCAGTCAGGGCTCTCCCAGCCTCCTGTGCGCCTGCACACCCTCCCCACTTTTTGGCTTTCTCGATTATGTTTGAAATTTAAGGGTTTTTTTTTGATCTTAATTGGCATTTGTGAGCGTCGTGCCAGCAGCCACCATCCCGCTGCACAGCGGTTTAGCGTCAGGGAGTGGGAACCAGTTCCCCAGCAGCTCCTGCACTGGTTTGGCAGTGGAGGACGCGGCTTTGCCTCTGCCGGTGGTCCCACTCACGCGGGTCGGTGGGCACCCCCGGGGCACCCCAAGGAGAATGGAATCCCTCTGCTGTCAGACCTCCAGATAGCTCGGGGGCTGAGGAGCTTATCCTGGGTTGCTCCTTTGGGATTTTTGCCTTTGATTCTTGAGGGCAGCTGAAGCCCCCGGAGCAGTTCTGCCTCTTGCCAGCAGCAAAACCAGCTGCGTGAACCCCATCGTGGACAGGCTGGGTCAGGGTCAACCTCTCCCAGCTGGATCCGACCCAGAAAAGCTTCTCCCAGCATCCGTGAGAAGGTTTTTCCATCGGCTGCAGCGGTGTCCCAGTGGTCCAGCTTCAGCAGCTTCAAAGCCCGAAACATCGCTGGCGTGGGCAGTGTCAGCTCTGGATCCCGCCGAGCTGCAGGTCCCCCCCCAAAGGTCTCTCCACGTCCCCCCCATGGTTGTGCTGTTTGGAGGGGCTCTGCTGGGGGTCCCTGCGCCGTCCCCCGTGCTGGCCGCAGCCACGCGCCAGGGAGGGGACACCGCCGGCTCCGTTGGCGTGCCTAGAAAGGCTTTTAGTGGCTTGGCTTGATAAATGAAAACAAATAAACTTGATAGACAAGTGGACAGCTTTATGATAGCTTCCCACTGACAGGGAGAAAGATTGGTTGTCGGTGGCTTGATAGAGAAATATCTTGATGGGACTCAGATAAAGAGATGTATAACCTTGATGGTGGAGGATGAGGAGGTGGCTGCACGGGAGGATGCCCCGGCAGCATTGTTCAAAAATAATTCAGCCTTTATTTGTTTTACTTTTTGTCGGGGAGGAGGGATGCAGAGCCCCACAGTTCATTGAGTTTTTCAAAATAGATTTGCTAAATAAATAATGACGACGGTCCATATTTTATTTATATCCCACCTATCTACATGCAGCGCTGGAGGTGTTTTACAACAGACCTCTTTCTCCCATTTAAAGCTAACAAACTCAAAACTAAAAGCACATTAGATGGAGACAGATTTACAAGGATATTTAGATGCCGAAGCATAAAGACAGGCAGTGAGTGGGATTTGCGGAAGCGCCTCGGCTGCTTGCTCCCGTCGGTTTTAACAGGCACCTTGTTGCTATTGTGGATCCGCCTGGATGCGGTTTCGCAGCCAGAGGCATCTGAGGGGCTCCGGGGAGCTCAGGGGGTGCCTGTGTGGCCGAAACGCCCGGCGGGAACTGGCCAGGCTCGCCGGGGATGGGGCTTGGCGTCCGCTCATCCTTCTGCAGCAGCAACCGTTCATATATTAAGTTTTGGGAACTTGGGGGGTTCCTGCCCCTGGTGAGCACCAGCCTCCCCGAGCCGCCCTCGAAGGGCGTCGTGGCTCGGGGCAGTGGCCGGGCAGCGCACCTGTGACCCCAAGCGCCCCGGTTTTGGCCCGTTGGGGTGGAGCTGTGACCCCTCCGGGCCGGCGGCGGGCGAGGGCTGAGGCGGCGCCGCGACGGGGGAGCTCGGCGAAGGAAAGCGATACGTTAGGTGCCAGTTTATTGTTTAATTTTATCCTCCGATCCGAGGTGAAAAACTGTCCCTGTGTGCCGGGTTGGGGCGCTCCCCCGGCCCCAGGATGGGGTGTCCGTCTGTCTGTCCGTCCATCCGTCCGTCTGCCCCGGCCCTGCCCTCGGCGCGTGCCCCAGCTGCCGGCGGTTGCAGGATCCGTCCCGGCGCCTTCGCTGGGAGCCCCCAGCTGCCCCCTCCCCCTCTTTGCAGCCCCCCTCACCCCTCCCCGTGCACCCCAACCCTCCCCCCGCCAGACCTCCCGCAAGGTGCAGCACCCCCAACCTTTCCCCCCGCTGCACCCCGCAGTGCACGCCTCCGCCCTTCTGCACAGGCCCCCCCCACCCATGCCGACGTGACCCCCTTCCCTTTGCAGACCCCCCACCCGTGCCCTGCTGGTGTGACCCCCCCGTCCTTCCCAAACCTCCCCCCGTGCCGGTGTGACACCCCCTCTTTCCAAAGCCTTCCCCCTGGTGCCCCACCGGCGTGACCCCCCCCCCCCTCCCTTTTGCAGACATCCCCACTCGTGCCCTGCCGGTATGACCCCCTTTCCTTCCCAAAGCCCCTCCCCGCCGTGCCGGTGTGCCCCCCCTCCCATGGCAGGGCCCCCCCCCCCCCCGCCTTCCCAAAGCCCCCCCGGTGCCGGTGTGCCCCCCCCCCCCCCCCCCCGCCGAGGTGGGACCGAGGCTGCGCGCGGGGGCCCCGCCCTGGGATCGGGCCGGGCGCGCGCGCGCGCGCGCGGCGGCCGCCGGTGGCAACAATGTGTCAGAGGCGGCGGCGCGGGCGCGGGGCGTGGCCTCGGGGGGCGTGGCCGCGGCGGGGGAGGGCGTGGCCGCGGGGCCGGAGGGGCGTGGCCGGAGGGGCGGGCGGGGGGCGCGGGCGGCGGGCGCAGCATGGCGCGGCGGCACTGAGGGAGCAGCGGCCTCCCCGGCCCGGCCTTTGTCTCCCCGGTATCCCCGGAGCGGAGCAGCCCGAGCGGGGGCCCGGGGCTGAGCCCGCGCCGGCCCGTTCGCCCGCCCGCAGGTGCGGAGGCAGCACCGGGGCGCTCGGTAACCGGGGCGGCGGCGGGGGCGGTCGGAGGAACTTGGCCGAAGTTCGGCGGCGGGAAGGTTCCCGGTGCCGGTGCGATCCCGGAGGCGCCGCGGGAACCGGTGGGTCCCCGCCGCCCGGGGCGCGGGATGCGGCTGCCCCGGCGCCGCCGCACCGCGGCCGCCCCCAACTTTCCGCGCTGACGGGCGCCCGGGGCCGCGGGCGATGGTGAGGGCTGGCCGCCCGCCCGCCGCCGCCCGCCGCCCGCCCGCCGCCCCCGGCCGGGCCCTGGGCCCCGCCGCCCGCCGCCGCCCCGCCGCCCCCTGAAGCGGCCGGAGCCGCGCCCGCCGCCCGCCGGGACGATGCCGCGCTGGGAGGCGGCCGCGCTGCTCGCCGCGCTCGTCGGTGTCTGCGTCTGGACCGACGAGACCGGGAAAGTTATCTCGGATCGGTACGCTGTCTACTGGAACCGGAGCAACCCCAGGTGAGGCCGGGGGCGGCGGGGGTCGGGCCCGGGCTGCAGCGACGCCCCAATTTGATCCTTTATTCCTCCCCCCCCCCCCAACGCACCTCCGATGAGCCCGGAGCCGCCCGGTGACCCCGGTGACAGGCGGCTGTCTGGTCCCGCTCCACCCCCCGGTTTGCTCCGGTAACCGAGCGCGCATCCCCGGTGGGTGCCTCCTCCGGTTGACTCCCCCCCCTCCCCCCCCCCCAAAGTTCTCCCGAGGCTCCTGGGGGAGGCGGCCCCGGGAGCATCACCGGCGGGGGGGGGGGGGGTGTGTGGCGGAGCCCCCCCGGCCCCTTTGCGCCCAACTTCGGGGAAGTTCAAGTTTCTCCTCCCCGCCGGTCCCGTGTGTCCGTGTCCCCCCCCGGCTCGGCGAAGCCCCTGCGGGAAAAAAGCCCCCAAACACGGTGCAAAGCGCGGGGGGGGGGGGGGGGGCGCGGTGGGAGCGGGCGCGGGTCCGCTCAAGGTTTGGGGGTGAACCGGGCTGGCTGGGGCCGGGCTGCGGGGCTGGGGACACCCCGGCCCCGCCGCTGCCCGCGGTATTTTCGTCTTGGTAGAGAAACCGCAGCCCAATTGCTTTAGTTTCCCTGCTCTGCCGTTTAATTTTTTTTATAATTTTTTTTTCCTCCTAAGCATCCATTTTTTTATATTTTATTTTTTTTTTTTTTCTGGTGAGAGTTTAATTTCTGTTGTATTTCTTTGTTCATAATTTTGAAGAACCAAGAACTGTTGGAGAGTTTGAAGTGAGGATGAATTCTGCTCCTGGCTCAGGTGGTTGGGACCACCAGGACCCCCCCCACCCCCTCCTTCCCCTCGGATACAAACCCCAGGGTTCTGAATGGGCGGAGTGGTGGGGACTCTTGTAAAAGATAAAAAACCAAATAATTAAAAAACCTGCTGCCGAAACAACATTTATTTTTTTTTTCCTCCCCCCAATTAATCGGAGTTAAGCTGGCCCCGCAGTGTCCCCCGCCGAGCCAGGTGGAGGGTGGTGACGCTCGGTTCCTTTCTGCCGTGGGTGCTGCTGCGCCCGTCGCCGTCAGGTTTGGGCTGTTTTGGGTAAAACGGGTGTTTCTTTGTCCCCCGTGGGGGTGAGGGGCCGGGTGGGTGTGTGGCGTGGCCTGGCCCTGGTCCCCCCGCCCCCCTCCCCGCGGTGGAGCGGGCAGGAGCTGGGGCTGCCCCCCGGGCGGACCCTCGGTGGCACCTTCCCCGCTCCCGGCCGCGTCCCGGTGACACCGTCACAGTTTATTAAAGTTCCCGGCTGCGTTTCTCTGGGCGGCCGCGAGTACCCAGGGCCGGTGGGATGTGCGCGGGGCCGAGGACCCTGGTGAGCATCGGCGTCTGTCTGTCCAGCCGCCCTGCGTCCCCTCGAGGGGGGGGACCAACCGGGTGTCGTCACCCCCCACCCCGTGCCCTCACACCGCCCCGAAATTGGGGTGAGCCCGTCCCTTTGTGCGCGGTGGTGCCTTCGCCGCGGGCCGCCTGCAGTGCATATGGATTTTATTATCTCCCTCACATTTTTGTGGGGGATTGTAAGAGGCAGGGAAATATATATATATATATATATATTTTTTTTTTTGGCCATTGCAAAGTTTTTGGTTACAGTTCCTGGTCCTCCCCAGCTCCCACATTTTGGGCTTTTTTCTTTTGTTCTCCTAAATGCCAAACATGTGCGAGGGCCCCCCTGGTCAAACTCTACCATCCCGGCCGCTGGAGACGAGGGCAGTGGTGCAGAGAGGTCGGGGCCGCGGCTCAGATTTAACACCCAAGGGTTCCAGAAGTGGCCCCCAGGTTCTTGGGTGATGGGAGTCCCAGGAGCCGATGCGGGACCTGGCGTCGGCGGTGGCTTTGGCTCGGCCCCGCCAGCCACCCGCGTGCCCATCGCCCCCCTCGTACTCACCGGGATGGGCGACGCGAGGGATTTATCCTCTAAATTAGGTGGTGGTTCCTTATTACATTTTTTTTTTTTTTTTTTTTTTTTTGATAAGTCTGAGGTTGGCAGGGAAAAATCTTTTCCAAGGGGGAAGATAAAATAGGGCAAAGGAAGTGCGAAGGGATGGGAGGGAAGAGCAGACAATGGCTGGTGGGTTTTAGCAGGCACGTCCGCAGCGCCTGGCTCCGGGATGTGACCCAAATTTCCCCAATGTGGGAGCGCCCCGTGTCGCAATCGCCCGGCGTGCTGGGCGCTCCCTGCGTGTACGCTCAGGTCTTGGAATTCAAGGCAATTTAGTAGACGTTGCAAATACAGAAATTGCCATTGAGTTTTCTGCTTATTTCCTTTTTAAACCTAGCGGTTACTTTATTTTGGCTGTCTCTGGAGTTACTAGAAGACTATCTCATCCTTAAAAATGAACAACAGCGTATATATGCTTTTTCTGGTCCCTCGTTTTCCTCCTTTTTTTCCCCCTGCCGTCACATTTATTAGGGGAGAAATCAAAAGGCATTAAAAAAGAAGGGGGGGGGAAGAGAAAAAAAAAGAAAAAAAAGAAAAGGTCAAAATGCCTGGTGCTTGTTTGAACCCACAGATGTGATCTGGCGGTAAATATTTTTATTCAGGTTTATATTGCAGTCTATATTTTATAAAAGACAGCAATAAATCTTACGGTCAATATCATTTGCACAGATTAGAATAATTCTATATTTCATAATTGGGTCTAAATTAAAAATAAGTGGTACCTCAGGATGCTGCAATTTGCCTGTTCTGTGGAGATATTTAGCCACTCACTGTGGATTTTCAGGTTTGTTGTTTTTTTGTTGTTTTTTTTTTTTTTTTTTTTTTTTTAAATGTTTTCGTAAGCTTGCATTTGGAAAAGATTGCATGGCTTTTGCTGGATGTAACTCTTGGGTTTTCCTGGAAATAGCCGGAGCAGGAAGAATGTATCTTTCTGTAATAACGCACCGTTTCGGTACCCACCTATTACTGCGGGTTTTTGCTCTACGGCGCGTACGGACGCTGCGTTACCTCCCCGGCTGCGGGATGCGTTGGCAGGTCGGGGTGCGGGTGCCCCGTGTCCGGGCGATGCTCCTGCCGACGGCACCGCGGGGCACAAGAGCTCGCAGGGCTCCTGCCGCCGCCGCATCGCGGGCAGGGGTCCCCCCGCACACTCCTGGGGGGGCTGCGGGCTCACGCTGTGTTTTCCGGCCGGGGAGCCGCTCGCCTGTAGGTTTTTTGGGTGGATTTGCAGCTTCGGGACCCAACGAGAAGTGCAGTGGGTCGAGCCGGGCGTCGCGGAGCATCCGCCGGTGGGATGGCATCGTCCGGGCGGGTTGGGGTCTCCGGCTTCGGCCCCCCGCGCTCCTTACATGACCCCCCGTGCTGCAACAGGATTTAGGATAAATGTCTCGGGTGCACCGCAGCGTGTCGTGCGGGGAAAAATCGAGAGGTCTGGGAACCTTCTGCAATACGGGAGGAAAAGGGCTGCGGGAAGGAGCAGCCCATCCTCGGAGGGTCCCCGAGCCCAGGACCCCCCGACCTGTGGCCTTGGGGCTGCGCCTGGAAACCTCTCGAAGGCCAAGGAAGGACGGAGGATTTCAGATTTGTTTTCGTCCCCGGCTCTACCTACAGCTATGTAATGGGCAGGTTGTAGTAATTCCAGAATGACAGTGTTCCCGCAGCCAAATGCAATTCCCGTGTACGCGGCCGCGTGTTTCGGTATCTACAGAGGGGGAAATGGGCAAAGTATTAGGTATTTTCCTCTCTCTGTTTACGGTACAGATACAAAAGCTGTAAATGGTCTGGATTTTACCCGTGGCCTATATTTAACTGTGAGGTCATTTCTCTGTCTTGGAAGGCTTATTTTCTGAAATTTTTTTTTTGTTTTGTTTTGTGAGCACAGCTGGGGTTTCTGTTCTGCTCCTCTGCACGCCCCAATCCCGGGATTGGGAAGCTGGAGAAATGGTTTCTAGCGGGGGGGATTTGCCGCGGCTGGTGGGAGCCCGGGCGATGCTCAGGGACAGCGGTGACGGCAGAGCAGGGCCTTTGGGGGGCACCTTTTGTGCACCCTGGTCTTCGGGAGTGGGTTTTGTGCCCCTTTTCTCCTGCCTTGCCGTCTCCGCGAGCCGCAGCCCCCACACCCACCGGTTGCTGGCTGGTGCTTTGTCCGAGGGCTCGGTGCGTGGCGGCCGTGGCCGTGACCCAGTACCTGCCCCAGCCCGAGTGAACTTGCCCACTCGTAGGTCACAAGGGCTCGTGGCCGGGTCGGTGGCAGCCCCGGTGTGCCGGCTGCCCTTCGAGGGACCGAAGGTGACACACGTTTGTTTTTTTCCAGGGGAATTTGGTGCTGGAGGCGGGGTGGCTGCACGGGAGGGCTCGGCTCGGGGGGAGCGTGCTGGGCACTGGACGTGCCCACCCACACCTCGTGCCAGGGTGGGTTTGGGGCCAGCCCTGCCATGGGGCTGGTTCCCAAAACTGCCGGGTCCTGACTCTGTCAGGGGATGCCTGGGCTGGGACCTTTGGGGTTGGCTCCCAACCCCGTGTGCCCCCCCTCCGCCAGGGTCTGCACCAGCCTCTGCAAGAAACACACCCTGTCCCCCGCCTTGGGTGATTTTAAGGGGAATTTTAACCCTGGCCCTTGGGTGGTTCCCGTGTCACCGACGGGCCGAGTCCCCTCTCTGCGTGCACGGGGCTCGGGGTGCCGGGGCGGTTTGGGGTGCCGGCGCTTGGCCGCATCCTGCGCAATTACTGCTCTTTGAGTTTTCATCTGTTTCGTTTTCCCTTTGTGCCGAGATCATTTGCAGCCCTTCCCACCCCTCTTTTCCAGCCCGTTAAGCCGTGTTAGCTATTCTTCACCAGCCCAGGTCTGCGGCGAGCGCGGTTAATGGAGAGCAGCTACAAACAGGTCCAGCGTCTCTGACAAGATTTTCTCTCTCTGTCTCTCTGCCTGTCCCTTCCGAGGGACCGCAATTACATTCCCTGCTGGTCGCACATTTGGTATCCAAATGCCGGCCATGCTCCGCATCCTAATGTGGGGACGGGCTGG